TTGAATCGGTTCAACCATGAAGCTTCCGTGGTCTAATGGTTATGACGCTCGCATTGACAGCGAGAGATCGCAGGTTCGAGTCCCGCAAGAGGCATTTTATTACACAATTTCATTATTCATTTATTTACAGGACTACATTCGTTGAGCTATGCTACACGATGTATTATTATGTCCTTTATTCGAACACTGTATTTACCTTTCTTTGATTATTTATATATATAATTTAACAGTGTTAACGGCTTTCTTGATTTATATTATATGCAACTATTTGTTTCCAGCCGTACCTATTGTGTAATGGAGTGTATCTGGTGGTATTTGAATCGGTTCAACCATGAAGTCTCCGTGGTCTAATGGTTATGACGCTCGCATTGACTGCGAGAGGTCGCAGGTTCGAGTCCCACCAGAGGAATTTTATTACACAATTTCTTTATTCATTTATTTACAGGACTACATTCGTTGAGAGCTATGCTACACGATGTATTATTATGTCCTTTATTCGAACACTGTATTTACCTTTCTTTGATGATTTATATATATAATTTAACAGTGTTAACGGCTTTCTTGACTTATATTATATGCAACTATTTGTTTCTAGCCGTACCTATTGTGTAATGGAGTGTATCTGGTGGTATTTGAATCTGTTGAACCATGAAGCCTCCGTGGTCTAATGGTTATGACGCTCGCCTTGAAGGTCGCAGGTTCGAGTCCCGCCAGAGGAATTTTATTACACAATTTCTTTATTCATTTATTTACAGGACTACATTCGTTGAGAGCTATGCTACACGATGTGTTATTATGTCCTTTATTCGAACACTGTACTGTATTGTATTGTCGCATATTCATTCCTCAAACAGATAACAATGGCTTAAAAACTGTTTTGGTTTCACATGAATTAGAAAATGACGTTATCTTGTACCACCCGATGGTTACTAGGTGATATTGTAACCATAGTGTTTAAAATCGTGCCTTTGTTTTTCTCTTTGTTTTGTGAATTAATTTCTTTTTACCCTTTTGATGTTTCCATAGGCGTAGATCCCGGGGGGATGGGGATATATCCCCCAATATTTGACAAGGGGGGATGGTCCATTGTATCATCCCCCCAATATTTTGACTATGTATGGGATAAAATGGAGATTTACACACTTCAAAAGACTGTCACAGAAATAATTTGCACTGTATTATGCGCTTACAAAGATGAAAATTAGCATAATGTATTAATTTTGATAACAAAATTATTTTATCTGGTACCAATCTAAGCTCTTCTTTCCTTAGATGTTAGATGTGCTGGCAATGAGAGCCACATTTCACACTGAAGGGTGTGTACGACATCAGTAATGTTATGTCAATTCCAAGAATGTTTAAGGTTATATCGGTTGATGAGGAATTTATTGATTAGGCCTATAATAGCAAATTGCATCAATTTATTTTGCAAAAACAAGGTTTCCAGCTTCAGAGGGGGGCACATCTCCTGTCCGCACAAGGGCACACATTGGCGCTAACACCAGGCACGTAACAGGGGTCTTGGGTCAGAGTGGGTATTTATTTTTTTATTTTATTTTTTATTTTTTTTATTTTTATAGAGGGTAACCCTTCTAGTTTAGCCCAGTAGGTTAACTGATATTCAGGACCCTCTTTAATAACATTAAAGAACAGTACAAACAACATCATTACAACATAATAATAATAACAACAACAACAACAGTCCTCATTCACCATCTATACACATTGAGGCCCTTCTTTTAGGTTAAAATGATCTATCTTAAATTTGTCCTTCTTGAGTTTGGGACTATTATGTGTTTAAATAACTTAATAGTATAAAACTAAAAAAGCCCTAAAAAAATGCGCGCCAAGTGCGCAAAATATTTTTGTGTTTTTAATTCTAATTTCGTCGGAATTGATGAAAACTCCCTAAAATGTGCAATTTATAGAGAATTAGCCTACCGTAACAAGAAATGCGCGCAAAGAATTTTAGGTACTTTCAGAGGATGCATTTGTCAAGGGGTGGAGAAAGATTTTCCAATGATGGATATTTTCCCCTTGTCCCCAGTGTTTTTAAATTTAAATTTCGTTGGAATTGATCAAAACTCCCTAAAATGTGCAATTTTTAGAGGAAATTGGGCCATGTTAACAAGAAATGCGCGCGAAATTTGAGGTTTTTAGGCACTTTCAGGGGATGAAAGGGCA